GGTAATTTGTGGTTGTCACTATACACCTCAGCCACTCACAACTTCATGGAGACTCCAGAGAATAAAACTCCTGCTGCTAACGCTCCTGTTATGCGGGCTCAAGGAGAATCACCTGTAGTTTGTAGTAGTATAGGACTATGAATCACAGTTGAGCAGTTCTGATTCCATCTAGCAGAGGGCAGTGATACGCATACATATGTCAGCAGCTCAACACACTACCGTTTTGTTTTGTGTCTTTCATACAAACTCAATTCCCAGAAGCTCATTGAGTTGAATACACCCATCATGTCCAAAGATAAACAATCAAAAGTAGCAGAGAGAAGGAAATGAGGAGGGTACACATAGGGCAGAAGAGAAATCTTTGTGCTGACATTTGAAATCTCAGCATGTTACATAAATGGAGAAGATGGGGATTATGCAATAACAACCTGTTTGAGTAATTTCTCAAGACAAAGCTTCCCCACTGTGTGGATTATTCTGCAGCAGATTTAACACTCCTGTCTTCATGCATCTGAAGAAGTGGGTTTTTTTACCCACAAAAGCTTATGCCCAAATAAATCTGTTAATCTTTAAGGTGCCACCGGACTCCTTGTTGTTGTTGTGGATACAGACTAACATGGCTACCCCTCTGATACTCCTGTCTTTATGACCATGTTTACTTTAGACAATTTTCAAAGCGGTGTGTCTAAAGGTCGGCTCTGACAAAGAGATATGTAGATTCAGTATTTTGACAAAGTCCAGAAGCAGCATGCCTTGTGCTGACACACAGCATTCCCATTGCAGCCTCAGGATGTAATCAGGACTAGTGGTTTTTACTAGCTGATGTTTGTTCTGAGGTTCAAACCACTTTGATGACTGCTGATGATTAAGTGGTTGTCTGGTTTTTGTTTTGTTTTTGTGAGGGTCATATTGCATAACTAGTACTAGCTGAAGTCAGCCCCAGGACAGGCAGAAACCAGACAAACTGCCTATTTCAGTCCTAGGTTTCTCTCAAGTATAGTCTTTCCCTTAAGTCCAAATTCTGTGGTGTATTAGCATTTGCAATGCTGACAGATGACAGACTAGGCTACTGTCATAGGGTGACTGGCCCTTTTAAGGGGAGAAGGGGCCACCCACACTGTGCCATATTTAATTAGCTGCTTCCCAGCCTCAGAAGACAGGACTACAGAAAATTATGTGATAGTTTAATGGTCCCCTGTGTCTTATAAAAAAGACGGAGAGAGATCAGCCTGGGAGGGTCCACAAGGAGTGGGAGGGCTCATGTGGAAGGCCCCGGGCCAGGGTCTGCAGGAGGCTGGGGGGAAGTACTCAATGCTTTTTTTGGCTTCGGTCTTCACAGAGCTCTATACCGGATCAGAGGAATTCCTCTCAAAGGTAGTACAGAAGGGACCAGGAACAGGGCCCAGAGGGCAGGCTGAAGAAAAGCCCTGAAGAACAAAGGACTATTTTTGTTTGGGACTTTTTTGTTGGACTTTTGTTACCTTGGAAAGGTTTAAGTTTATCACTTGGTTGTAAGGGCTGAGCCATATCTCCAACAGAGGCCGGTGTCTGGAAAGCTGAGGAGACCAACATCATGGATGGAAACTGAGGAAGGGAGTGCCAGCTCCATCATACTGTGTTATAGGGCAGCCATACCCAACGACAGCTACCAAACAAATTATTTCAGTAGCAATCTTAAGACAGCATTTGGACCCAGGCCCCCAAATATGAGCAATTAGTGCAGTAACTCTTTGCATCACTCCCTCATGGTTTTAATTCTGAATAATTCTTATGTTAGGTCTCTGCGACAGTCCTCTGCCAGCCTTACTATGTTTACCATCCTGCTCCAAAGATGCCCTGCTGTGCCTCACTATAGCCCTGCTCCAGCACTCTGCTAAAGAAGGAGGCAAGAATCAGGTTTTAATTAATATCTGACCTGTTTGTGTTCCTGGGCTGAAGGAAGTCAATGGGGTTGCACAAGGTGTAAGTCAATGAACAGTTTGCGCCCTTGTTTCAGACCCACCACCCAGGTCAGTTTGGATTTTTGGATGCACATGCATTGGGCAGAACGTAGGATTTTTAGTTCCCAAATCCAAACCTCTACTCCCACTTAGGCTAAAGGAGAATCTTCTTTAGCTGAAGTAATATTAGGATTTATACCCTCTCTAGTTTGCTGCCACTATATGGCAACAAAGATACAAAACCTTTAAGCAATTCTGATTCCATCCAGCTGAGGGCAGTTGTGCATCCACCTACCTGCCTGCATATTAGGAGAGTGAGTTGCAAAACCTAGTTTTATAAAGATTTTAAGAAGTTCTGCTCACTGTACAGTAGTTGTATATCAACAACAATCCCGAAGAGCTAGGAACTGCCGGGAGAAGGTTCTCTGTTAATACTTTTTATGGCTAGGGCATCTTCTGTCTGAGGGGCTCAAACATTTACTCATTGAGTCTCACAGCTCCCGTGTGCGGTAGGCAATTTTACAGATGCAGGAATCGGAGGCACAGAAAAGCAACAGCTCAGATCCACAAAGAGATTTGTGCGTTGCAATGCTCAGCATCACAACACCTAACTTTTAGGTGCCTAGAAAATCGCAGGACTAACAACACCAGCCAGTGAGTTAGGCGCTTAGGCCCCCTTTACAATGGATGGGGAGAGATAAGTGCTTAACTATACAATCCACAAAAGCCAGCATGCTAAGCATGGAGCTGCCTGAGCCATCCAATGGGAGATGCCAAGGAGAGGAGGATGTCCTAAGCCCCACCCCTCTCATAGAGATAGCCGCTTAAATCCAGGCTATCTCTGCTTGCAATCCACAACCAGGAACCCCTCCACTGAAGTGACATGGCTTAGGTGCCTAAGTTATTTCTTGTGAGAAGGAGTGAGGCAGGCACCTAAATCCATGCAAACTTGCCAGATGAGGAGATGGTGCCATCACCCACCTTATAACATTTAACTCAGTGATTAGAGAGCTCACCTGGGATGTGGAAGGTCAGATTCAATTCCCCACTCTGCCTGAGGGGGAGAGAATTTGAACAGGATCTCCTACACCTCTCGGCATGCTCTAACTATGGGATATTCTGATGGGGAGTGTCCCTCAATCTCTCCTGCTGAAGCTGTTTCACTGTGGATAAATACTTAGCGTCACTGGCCAGAGTGAGACACTGTAGCCTGGTAGTTAGGGCATCCACTTAAAAGGCAGGAGATCCAGTCCCTCTCCTCCAAAGACTCTTTAATCATTTGTACACAGCTGAGGCACCTACAGGATTAGGTGACATCTAAAAGGCTATTTTGTGGATTGGACTAATGCCTAAAACTGGGAAGCAGGTGACTAAGTACCGTTGTGGATCTGAGCCTAAGTCACACAGGCAGTCTGCAGAAATTAGGGGATTAAACCTTCATCTCCCATTCCCAAAACATGAGGGTCACCGTTCCTCTCCCTTGACAATGCTAGGTGAAAATGGAACAGTGGCAACTGTAAAATGTTTTCTGGCAGTGCTGTAGTGCAGAGCCTTTCACCTAAAGCTCAACAGATCAAATGCAGCCAAGTTTAGCAGTGACTGAAAGTCATTACCAACTGATGGCTGTTCAGTGTCCTTTGTGAAAAGAGTTGGATGACTCTTAGTCCAGTCCCTATGGGACAGACATCCCCCTCATAAAAACCACCATCACAACTGGCATCATTGTCTCCCTGGCCCTGAAAGGAAATTTCAGCTGAAACATTTATATGGAGAACAAGAATATCTAAAGTTCTAACAGGTAATGGTAACAAAGGAGAATGGGACAGGAGATAAAATGACATGTTTCTGTGTTTAAATTATTTCTAATTATTAAGGATTGGGGGGAAACCTTCATGGGAAGCAGATTATCCCACATCTGGCCATCGTGAAGCTCTTATTTTCCCTTTGAAGCATCACATGCCGCCAACTGTCAGAGACAGGATACTGGACTACATAGCTGGAGCTCTGGTCTGAACCAGCATGGCAATTCCGATGTTTCTATGACCAAGGACTGGATGAGTTGCGGAGAGCAAAACATTCTCTCCCCCCTAGAGTTGAGCCAACTAAGTCAAGGCTGAGAAAGACTGCTGGGACAATGCAGGGGAACCTGCACTGAAACTGCTGCCCTGTGCTTGTTCTGTGAATTGAAGACTCCGCTCTCCAAAGCTAATAATTCCACCCCATTCACCGGCAGGCTGTTCACATAATAAATCAAAGTGCTGCAACATAGCACGATGTTCAGTATGTGCACCTGCAAAGCAGCCACTCGGACTGCAGGGGATATTGTCATCATACAGTCTGTGTAGAGCTGCTAGGTTAATGCTTGATTTTTTCTGTCCCTTTAACACCTACCAGCTCCTTGTCACAGTCTTTGTCATCTGGCCAAGGAGATGAAGCAGCAACATGCTCCTTCATTGACTAGATGAGTCTCTCCTCAGGAATCCAATCCGAGTCCCTCTCCTTGCAATACAGAGCACTATTTCCATGTCACCAACTTCAGCCTAAGGGGTTAAATGTACTCAGACATAGGAAATGGCTTATGTCTCCCTAGAAATCCACCCTGCCCTAAAATAAATGCAAGACATCAGAAAAGTGAGTCTGGGTTAGTGAAATCTCCTACAGTGAAGTGACTTTCTTGAACAACACTGTGGAACTTTCATTCTATTTCACTAGACGATTTCACTCCAAATGGGTTATGCCGAAGGCTGCAGTGTAAAAGTATGGTTGTTGTGTTAGAACAAAGAGAATCAAAGAAATAAACAAGAGCGAACTCCTCATGGAACAGACAGTACAGAACATTTGTGCCCACTCCCTCTTTTTGAGCTGCTAAGAAATCCAAGTCCTGCACAGTCTAAGAAGTTGTATAAAAGTAACCCACTGGGGAAAGCAGTTCAGGCAGCTAAGGATTTATAGACACATGAGCTGTGCTGAGGTCTGAATTGGGAGGAAAAATCAAAACAAGTTAAGCCACAAGCAGCTCAATAACCTTCTTTCTTAGGACAAAGCACTCGGGATACTCACAATTTCTAGACACCCCTTTTCATAGTCTCAGTGCTGCTGTAGCAAACGCATTCCTCAGCCAATGTGTTTTCCAGCCATAGAATACTTTAGTTTTCAGCTTGGGGTGGGGTGTTTGTGTGTTGGAGGGGAGGGACTTAGTCTATGCTTCTGATTTGAAATTGCCAAAGGTCTTTTTCTAACTTCCAATTTTGCAATCTGTCTGTCTGCACTTGGATTTTCTGCCATTTTTGTTGGGTTTAAGCCTTTTATTTACACATTTTTGGAGGCAAAAATTTCAGAGGCTGTTGTTTGTTTGAATTTTTAGCCAAAAACTTTGAAAATTTAATAGCTCTTGATTTAAAAAAAAATCCCAACAAAAACAGCAATTTTTGTTCTTATTCTATCCATATTGCAAAATTCCTGCTTCTTACCCCTTCCCCAAATATACTGCTAGGATCCATCTCATGTAGGATTGTTAACCCTCCAGGATTGCCCTGGAGTCTCCAGGAATTAAAAATCAATCTTTCATTAAAGATTACATCATGTGATGAAATGTCCAGGAATATGTCTAACCAAAATTGGCAACCCTAATCTCATGTGCTTTGTTTGTCATGTTTGTCTTATTATTCTAATTTGTTACTTGTGACTTTCTAAGCTGCAGTGTTGGTTATGGATTTGTGATTTAGAGCATTCGTTTCTATAACTAATCACTATAGCATTTTCAGATAAGAACAAGAGAAACTAAAGTACAAACAACACCAGCTAAATCTGGCAAGGGAAAACAGGGATTTTTCTCTTCAAGCTTGTCATTTAAAAAAACTTGTTTATAATGTTCATTGAGTACATACTGATCCGCTGGAATTACTGGTCTTCTCACTTTTGTTTGTTTATATATCAAGGACACTCACACTCCATGCAATATTTTATATTTTTCCATGTGGAGATCATTTCAAATCTGAACCCAAATTTAGTAGCCTGCGACCTATCTCTTTAATAGGCTAACCCAAAACCCTGGACCCAAACGTTCCTCAAGTTTAGGGGGGCCTGCATCTGCACTTTGGTGTCAAATGCTCATCAGTACTCAGATACCGGTACAATAGTTCACTGCAGATAGATTAGATTAGATCTCTGGCAGCGGTTGTGCTGACACCTGTATTTATCAAGCTAATCAGGATTGTTTCATGTATACTCTGTCCTCTTCCTCCATCTATTTGTTTTATCCATCTGCTTTTATTTCATCATGCTTTTCAACTGGGACAGGGTGTGTACCATAGCACCACAGGGTCCTTATCCCTAATCAAGTCCTCTAGGTGCTACTGTAATAGAGGTAATAAGAAATAACTTTTGAGAGCTATAAATAGGGACATTTAGGAACAGGGAGGAAAAAGACACATCTTCCAACTCTACTGAAGTACAGAGGTTAGCTGGCCTTTTTTGGAAGGAAAATATGTGCAGAATGGAAAATATTTTCCTAAAAATAAGGATGGCCGGACCCTCTTAAATAGGGAGAGTGCACTACTCCCATGCCTTGTTTTACCTTTTAGACAAGAAGAGAACCTATTCTGATAGTTAAAACACAACCTGGGATTCAGGAATTCTGGTTTCTACTCCCTACTCTATCACTGACTCGTTGCTTGGCCTTGGCCAAGTCACTTAACCTCATCTGTAAAATGGAGGTAACACTTCCCAGAGTAATGTGAAGTTTAACATGGAAAGTTTAGATGAAAAGCACTAGAGAAATTCAGCATATTAATATTGGCCTTAAGTGTCAAATTCAGACCTAGTATGAGTGGGAGCAACTCTGCTGAAGTTAGTGGGACAAGTTCACTCATTGCATTCAATATCATCACACTTGGTTATGCCAGTGGTGAATTTAGCCCCAAAGGGCTGCACCTGCTTACACCAGGATTGGGCATGGCCCTATGTATTTTGGTCCTGAGACATAGCTGAGGTGGACTTTGACAGGTTTGGAGATTTGGTTCAGATAAGACATATGGATGCTTATCCTAGTCCCTTCTGATAAACTGGGTGCAAATGTCACCAGACAATGGCAATCTGAGCAGTAGTTGACCCTGATTTGCTATGCACTGTGCTAATTAGGTTCCTTGGGAAGGAGGAAGAGATCAGATACACAGTATGTGCTGCTTTTTCTGCTCATCTTTCCTGGTGCATACTTTTTATTTCTGTTTGGAACAACTGGGCCCAGTTGCTTTGGAAGTTACAGACTTAAAATATTGGTTGTGGTTTTGAAATGGGTCAAAGTCAGAACCTCGTTATCAAGTCCCCAGATTTGGTGGGTCAGGTAAAATAAGACCCACAGCTGGGCAAGCCCTAGTTTTGATTCTGCAAAATCCAAACCACCCCCTTTTCAATATTAATGTATTCAAGATGCTTTTATTTGTCTCGGCCTCCTTTTAGCATAAAATAAGGATCTCGGTGGATGAGCTCAGAGACATTTTCGCAATGCAGTTCACTAGACACCTCCTGAGTTGCCTGTCTTTCATTCTAGGACATCAAAACCTGTTGGCACACTGCTTCTTCCACATATATTCTTAAGGAGTCCACAGGATACATGTGTGGCTGGTTGCCCTATTGCCATTGCGCCACCTGCTGTTGGAATTCTTGTCCATGGCCTCATGAGAAGATTTTTTTTGTGCTTTTTGAACTTAGCAATATCTAATCATGTTAAAAAAACCCTGTGATAGTAAAGATACTGAGGGGATGGAGGGGAGTGAGGTCTCTAAAATTGTCAGCACATAGATTTTCTGCTGTGATTAGAGATGGGCCCCATTCACAGAGTTTGGATCTGGATCTAGATTTGGATACAAGTGTACATTTTCCTAAAATGGAGGGCTGTTTGGACTCATAGAATATCAGGAGTGGAAGGGACGCCAGGAGGTCATCTAGTCCAACCCCCTGCTCAAAGCAGGACTAATCCCCAGACAGATTTTTTGCCCCAGATCCCTAACAGGCCCCTCAAGGATTAAGCTCATAACCCTGGGTTTAGTAAGCCAATGCTCAAACCACTGAGCTATCCCTCCCCCCTGGGCACCACTCCAGATCCAGCCATACCTAAAGATTACATTAGGGGAAGCAGGGGCTCGACCCACTTTATTTTCTATTTGGGCTCTTATCAGGTACCTGACCACCTGACTGCCTGTCTCATTTTGGGCTTATCATTAAACATCATACATTCCACTGCTTCAAGGACTCTGGTTTCTAAATTCTAGAAAAACAAAGACAATGGAACACTAGTCCTTTATTCTTATTAAGGACAAGGAAATGTCAAAGAGTGAAGTTTAAGATGTGGGTTTTGAGCTATAAAGCCCTAGATGGTTTGGGCCCTGGCTATATTATGCATCCAATCTACTATTCAAACTTCTTTCGCAAGTTCTGCAGAAAGCTATTTTGTCTGTAGCCTCATTGCTAGCCCATATGAACTGTTTTATACAGAAATATTACAACACACAGTTTGATGTTACCTTTCCAACACATCCAAGTTTGCAGTCAGATACATTTTCAAGGAATTTTATACTTACCATTCAGAACCAAGAAAAAATGATGACATCATTAGGACCAAAAACTAATCTGGGATGTTTGCATGTATGACTCCCATTGACCTCAGTAGGAGCCCCGCACAAGCCAAGGAATAATTCAGGTTTTAATTTCTGTGGGCCAAATCCAAAGTTAAAGGGAGCTGCAGCTGCTCGGTACCTGGTTGATATAGTAGGTTGAATAGTGAGTCGCTGAGTGCCTCCTGGGAGTTGCTGAGGGTCCTGCACTCCTACTGCCTTCCATCCAGAAAGAAAAGCCTGATCTTGTGGTTAAGACAGTAGACTGGAACTGAGGTGACTTCTGGCTGTGCCACCAACCTACTATGTAACCTTGGGCAAGTCATTTAATCCTCAGAGCCTATAGCAACGATGAATGCCATGAACTATTTAGGATCATGCTACCTGACTGTAAATTCCTTGGAGTAGGGTTCATTGTTTTGTACAGTGCCCAGCATACTGCTGGTTTATAACAAATAGTATTAATAATTTAGAAATAATACTTGAGAAGAGATAGGGTAACAGACTCCATAAAAAGTGCAAATATGTGCTTGAGTGAAGTGTCCTACTTTGACAGTAAGCACAATACTCAAGAAAGGAAGCATACTGAAGGCCCGCAGTCTGGTGCTTTATTCCTTCACCAATACTGCCACCTAGGGACACAGATTCATTTCTGCAGCTGTTTATATCGGTGACCTTCTCTGACCAATATAGCAGGCCTTGATCCTGCAAAGACATATCTGTGTGATTGACTTTACAAACCGTGATTTAGTCCCCTTGACATCAATAGAAATAACTCCTTTTAAAAGATGTTTAATTTTTAAAATTAGCCTAAGGGATTTAATAAAGACTGATGAATGTGGGAAGTTTGAAATACCTGAGTCTTGAGAGCTTTAAGTTAATGTTTATGGACATGAAATGCTTTTAATAAAAAGTATTCATATTTATTTCATAACAGTGTGATTGTTCCTTATAGGGAGTTTTCTAGTGTTGAGTCTTCCAAAAGGAGTGGTGGAAGCACCATTGCTTCAGAAGAGATTATAAAGCCAAAGTGATCATCTAGTCTGACCTCCTGTGTAATACATCCCATTGGACGTCCCTGTTTGAATTACAGCAGATTCCTGTTCACATTACAGAAGATTCTTTAGCCATATAAATAAAAAGAAAACAAGGAAAGAAGTGGGACCACTAAATATTGAGGATGGGGTGGAGATTAAAGATAATCTAGGCACGGCCCAACACCTACTGGAATACTATGCCTACATTTTAATGAGGGTAATGAGGATCTTAAGAATAGTGGCAGGGTGGATAATGAAAATTAGGATACGGAAGTAGAAATGACCACATCCGAAGTGGAAGTCAAACTCAAATTAATGGGACCAAATCTGGGGCCTAGATAATCTCCATCCAAGAATATTAAAGAAACTGGCACATGAAATTGCAAGTCTACTAGCAAGGATTTTTAATTAATCTGTAAACTCAGGGGTTGTACCCTATGACTGTAGAATTGCTAATATAGTACCCATTTTTAAGAAAGGAAAGAAAAAAGTGATCCGGGAAACTATAGGCCTATTAGTTTGACCTCAATTCTAAGG